ATGAGGGAATCCTTCCTCTGAAGGAGTTCACATTCTAACGGGTAGATGTATGTAGAAGGGTTCAGCTACAAGACAGATGGAGTAGCCCTTTAGGTGGTAGCAAACTGCTAAAAACCAAGTGGGAGTTAATCATTTGGTGAATGGATGAACAGATCGTGGCCCACAAATGGAATTGTTTTGTGCCATAAGAATGACGAATATGAGGGATTTAGAAAAACGTGGGACCTCCAATAGGAACAAACGTAGAGAGAAGTCAGCAAAGCCAGAATGGTAGTGAACACATTGACCTCTGCAACTAACTGGAATGATTGCTGTCCATCCTGGAGAGCTGCCTGGTGCCACCTTCCTTGGTGTGGGGGTGAGGGGGACTGTGAATGTGGAGTGTGCTGTGACCTCTGGTCTCTATTTCTTCTGGTTTTCCTTTAGTATTTTTTCATTGTTACAAAAGAGGGTTCAGAAAAGGGGATGAGGAGGAGTGGGAGGAGATGGAGTGAAAAGGACTGCGATCTGTCAACAAAAGGCCACAGTGAAATTTAAAATGAAATCGGGTTCCTGGAAGTGAACCCAGTATTTAAGCTCTGGACTGGTCAGGCAGACTACTATCACTCTGTGACTCCTAGAAACGACTGCTCCTTCCCTCCCTCTTTAAAGTAATGCTACTTTTTTTTTGAGGCAGGGAGGCTGCTATATTATATGGTTGCCTTCCATTGAGCTAGCAATCTGTCACAGTCCTCATCTCATTCATAAGGACTGTTACTGAGCCCTGTCTCAACTTGTACTTGGAACACTCCTTTTGGGGTCTTTTGGGTCCTGACTCAGTCATCCGATTTTTGAGCTTTCTCTCCTAGCTTGGCAAATTTGATAACTATGGGACACATGCCTTTATCCAAGTCAGTCATAAAAACGTTAAATAGTATAGAGCCGAACGTGATCCCTGGGGCACTTTACTGGAGACCTCCTCACTTTATATCTTTCCATTAATTGCTACACTTCGGGTTCAGCTGTTTAACTAGTTCTGAGTCCACTTAATTGTACTGTCATATAGCGCGCATCTTTCTTTTTCCGCAAGAATAGCATGAGTATTTGTCAAATGCTTTGCTAAAATACAGGGAAATGGTATTTAGAGCATTCCTCTGATGGATGAATGAATGAAAAAGCATGTATTAAACTCTTACTGTGTGCCAGATATGGTGCTGAGCTTTGTCCTCAAGGAACTAATTTCTGTTGGGGAAAGACAGTACACATAGTGGAGCAGTGGGCCAGGGTGGAAGAGGAGGTGGTATTTTTGATCAGAGAAGTTACGGGGATGATGAATGAATTAATTGTGTCCTGAAGGATGAGTCAGTCAGGGTCAGGTGGAGTCTTCCCAGTCCTAAACCCAGAGACTTAGGGCAGGAGCTGTGTAGCCAGGCCCCAGGTTAGTATGCTTCACATGAGCTAAGGAGCTTAGCATGAAGCTGGGGGGCAGGGAGCGGAATCTGCTTTGGGCCAGAAAGGCCTAAGCCTCCCCAGTGAGAAGCTCAGGGACTAGGGTGGTAGATGCTGGTGTCCTGGGCTAGAAGTGGAGGTCAGGGGCAGGAGCAGGAGCAGGGCATGAATGTATCGGGGCAGTGGTGACCTGTTTTTGACAAAGCCATGCTGGCCCTTTGCTATTTCAATTTATAAGCTATCGAATTTTGCCACCAAAGTCAAACCTACCTGCCTATAGTTTTCACTCTCAGTTCTCTTCCTATTTAAAAAAAAAAACCAATCAGGACATTTGCTCTTCCCCAGGCATGTAGTACTTCTCCTGATATATGATCTCTTTCAAAGATTATTGACAAAAGCTAGGCCATCACATCTGCCAGTTCTGTTATTTCTCTGGGTTCTGGTTCATTTGGGTCTGGTGACTTGAGCTCATCAAACCATCAAGGGTAACTCAGTGCTGTCTTACTGTTTCCCTTGTTATCTCAGGTGTCAACTCCTTGTTAGCTGTTTCTGCTCTCTCTTTTGCAGCACAAAGAGAATTTTCTCTGACAGAGAAAACATAAACAAAATATCAATCTGTCAGTCATCAGGTGTTTGTTAGGTGCCAGGTTGTGTGTGAGGGGCTGGGGATTCAGAGAAATGGAGAACCAGGCCTTGCCGTCAGGGAGTTTGCATTCTAATGGGGGCCCAGTGTATAAGGAAACAGGTACATACAGGATACATAGAGAGTAATGGGAAGGGGAATGGCCTTCTGCAGAAAGCGGTGTTTAAGCCACGTCTTCAGGGAAGACAGGGATTCTACTAGGTCACAGAAGAGGGAGGACCCTCCAGGCGCGGGTGGCACAGTCACAGCCGCAGCCGTGTCTTGAAGCATTAGGCATGAGGGACCGCAGGCTGGTAAGTCAAGCAGGATTTCAGTGTTTGTGGAGTGGACCAGCGCCTGAGAAGGAGCCAGGCTGTGAAGACTTTACATGCCAGGCAGAGCAAAGAAGCGGGTCTCTTCTCTTGTCACTTTCCGTCCCATTCTCCCGGGGAGCTGTCCTCACCTTCTTTAATCCTCCTCTTCTGCCCGGTATAGTCCACAGACTGACCCGTTTTGTTGTCCTTGCTTTTCTTGACAGATTCATTTTAAGCTTTAGCAGTCCTGACGTTGAATCCATGCTTGTCCCCTTGGCCTCCCAAAAGCATATGCTGACATTCTTGCAAGACTAGTCTTTGGAGGGGCACCTGCCCTTCCCGTTTTCTGTGCATGTCTTTGTAAGCCCCAGGTGGGCTGATGCCAGCTCCCTGTGCATCTGCATCAATCTCTTTAGGAAATTCCCCCTTTCCTCCTTTGTACTTTATGTCTTCAGAAGTTCCTTCTTTGGAATTTTCTCTTCTCCCTGGACTGACTTCCTACGTAGAATCCTTGAGATTCTGTGTACTCTCCTCGGATCCCTACTTTCACAGAGTACGAGTTCATTGATCAGATGATGCCTGCCTCTCCTTTCTCTTCTCCTCCTTTTCTTTTCCCTTCCCCTCCTTTCCCTTCTCATTTCCTCTCATCACACATTCAAAAATGGAATCTTCTGTTCCCTAAAGGTTTCCATCCTTTCCACCTCAGCAGCCAGATCCTACGTGGTAGCAATCAGATGATCCAGAATAGAATGTGACATGAACCCAAGTCCTCTTGACTCATAAGGCCGTGGTCCTTTCCATCACCCCAGGCTGCCATTCATAAAGGATTTTGTAAGACTGTGGGCAGGTGAATTAGAAGGAGAATCTAGTGTGATCTAATAAGGAAAGATGATCCTGTTCTGTGCGGCTGCCTAGCAGCTGGAGCACAGGTCGATGCAGGCTTGTCGTGGAGGACAGGTAAGCCACTGGACTCTGGCCGGTTCTCAGTTGACTGCTTTGAAAGTAACAGTATTAGAGCACAGGACTCTGAGATAGAATCTCTCTCTTTGTAGCCCAACCTTTGGGATGAGGGGGTACTTGGGTGGGCAGAGAGATTGAGAACTGGAAGGCCAGCTAACTCAGCCCATCCAGGAGTGGAATCCCCAGAAGTCATTGTCCAGCCCCTGCTTAAAGGCTGCCAGAGAGAAGGCATCCCACTGTCTGTCTACACAGCCCGTTCCACTGTTCGGTCGCTTTGATTGTTGGGAAGGTTTTCCTGACAGCGGCCCTCAGTCATTCTCTCTGCAGCGTCCCCCCATGGCTCCTGGTTCCTGCTTGTTGAGCTCCTCCCCGTGAAGACCCTTCATATGTGAAGGGAGTCTTCTTGCCTACCTTGAGGCTTCATTTCGTTAGGCCGGTGATTCCCAATCCCTTCAGTTTATCCTCATGTGACACGGACTCAAGGTCCCTCGCCAGCCCTCAGTTGCCTTCCTCTGGAACCTCTCCAGCTCATCAGTGGCATTTGTAAAAACCGTGATGCTTACAACTGAGCCCTGGACTCCAGAGATTGATGCCATTACCTTCCTTCTTCCTGGAAGCCGTATGATCTTCATGCACAAAGCCCACGATCACATGCACTTCTTTCACTGACACATCACACTGCTGCACCCAGCACCAGAGCGTCCTAAGACAAGAGGCAAACCAGCCAACGTGGTGCCCATTGCTTCCCAAGGGACACCCTGGCCTTTGTGGCCCTGAACCAAAAGAGAGCTCTAGGCATCAGAGTCCTTGGCCCAGTCAGATGGCATTCTACCAACTCAGGTGCCACTAAAGAGGCTGCGTTAACATTTGCCCTGCCACAGCCACCTAAGGCCCATGGGACTCGTGGCCTAAGCCTCCCCCATTGGCGTGTGAGTGCCTCAAGAGCAAGAACTGGCTGGCTCTTCCGTCCTGTTCCGTGGTGCTTGCTGGCGTGCTTTGTGCAGAGTGAGCATTGAAGGGTTGACCTTTCTTCCCTCCTCCCTCCTTCCCTCCTTCCTTCCTCCCTCCTTTGTCATTTTTTCAGTCATGTCTGACTCTGTGACCCCATTTGGGGTTTTCTTGGCAAAGATAACTGCAGTGATTTGCCATTTCATTCTTGTTTTACAGATGAGGAAAACAGGGTGAAGTGACTTGCCCAGGGTCACCCAGCTAGTAAGGGTCAGACACTGGATTTGAACTCAGGAAGCGGAGTCTTTCCTGACTGCAGGACTAGTGTTCTGTCCACTCTGCCGACGGAGCTGCCCTCTTCGTAAATATGGACATCCCTAATTCCTGGGCCCTGCAGAGGGTCCTGAGTTTGGCAGCTCCCAGACTGAGTGCTCTCTGATCCTACCAACCTCTAGTGACCCCTCACCCCCATTTTACCTTGAGGTTATTTTGTGCACGTCTTGCTTACACTAACAACATGTCGTCTCACCAAAGGACCTTCAGCTCCTCGAGATCGGGGACTCTTTGACGTCCAGCCCTTCATCCCAGGCAGTGGGCAGAGCTCAGTAAATACTCACTGTCTGATGGAGGCTGCAGGACTGCCCCTCCTCCCCCAGGGGAAGTCTGGGGGGCTACTGGGCTGGGCGCAGCTGCCTATGTCTGACCCCCCTCTGCCTTCTGTCTTGCAGGCCACCACGTCCACTAACTGGATCCTGGAGTCACAGAATATCAATGAACTCAAGTGTGAGATTAATTCCTTAAAAGGACTCCTTCTAAACCGGTATGGGGGAATGATTGCAGAGCGGGCTGGGGAGGCGGCCTGCATCTCCTGTGCCTTAGTGGGGTGCTGGTCTCCCGAGGGCACCCTCTTCCAGAGCTCTCTAAAATACAAGGAGTTCTCCCTCCTTTTCTGCCAGGGCCTATATTGCTGGCAGGAGCTGTTGAGAGTGGTGGACCTTCCCTGGAAAAGCTGGTGGGTGGCTTTAGGCAGGAAAGGGGCTTCCATGCTAGCCTTCCAAGCTGCCCCCTCCTCGTCTGCTGGGAGATGGTGAACCTGGCCTCGGAGAAGAGGCCGTCAGGAAGAGCAGTGGAGAGAGAATGGGCTCCTGGCTGGGGGAGGGGAGCGCCTGTCATGGAGAGAAATGCATGGGTTTTATGCAGCCGGTGAAGAAGTGCTTTTGGAAAATAATAAAGGGCAGAAAGTAGGCAGTTGGGTGACACTGGAGCCAAGAAAACTCTACAGATTGAATTTCTTGATGGCCTTGATGATGCTGGCAAATCATGCAGGCATTAGCTTGTTTGCACTCTGCAGAGATGGGGGTTGAGATGGAAGAGCCTTCTCAGAGGCTGGTTCAGAGGACTGCTAGAAAGGCGGGTTGGTGTTTTTATTTGTATTTTCTGAACTCCGTCAAAGATCAGCTCTTTCACATGGGGTTTGCTTCCTTAGTTGTCCCTGCCTGTTCTGGATGTGGCTGTGGTTGGGGCAGGGGTGTGTGTGTGTGTGTGTGTGTGTGTGTGTGTCCTTTCCCAAGGGGGAGCCCAAGCTGATGCCGTCCTTCCCCCCTTCCCCATGGCCTGGCTGTGGGCGACCTTTTGCTGGACTTTAGGGTTCACTCTGCCCTATTGTAATGTGGAGAGGGTGAGTGGCCTTCCTCATGGACAGAAGAGCCCTGGCAGCGTAGGGGGACCCATGCTTCCCTACCCCAACTGGAGCCTCATTTCGGAAGCCCTTGTAACAGACCTCCCCCCCCTCTCCTTTCCCTCCCACTAGGAGGCAATTCCCTCCATCGCCTTCAGCCCCCAAGATCCCATCCTGGCAGATCTCGGTGAAGTCCTCGTCTCCTTCCAACCCCACCGTAGCCAACCACAACAGCAGCAGCGACATCTCTCCCAGTCAGCAACGAATCGGCCTCTTCTTCCCCAGTGAAGGAGAACCATAGCCCTGAGGGGTCGAAGGTCAACTATCACCTGCTGGGCCCAGAAGAGGAAGGGGAGGGGGTGATTGATGTGAAGGGCCAGGTGCGGATGGAGGTACAGGGGGAGGAGGAGAAGAGAGAGGAGGAGGAGGAGGAAGAGGAGGACGTGAGCCACGTGGATGAGGAAGATTGCCTGGGCGTCCAGACTGAGGACCGGAGAGGTGGCGACGGGCAGATCAACGAGCAGGTGGAGAAGCTGCGGAGGCCCGAGGGAGCTAGCAATGAGAACGAGATAGACTAGGACCATTTAGTTTTCTTTCCTCTTCTTCCCTCCTGTCCACCCCTCTCCCTGCCCACAACACAGCCCCTTCTTTCTCCCCAGAGCACCTTTCATCAGGAGATGGGGAACTCTCCACAGGAGGGATCTCTCTTGCAGTTCACCAGGTTTAGTGTTGACTGGCCCGGCACTCCATGCGCTCAGCCTGCTGGCTTTCCTGGGCACTGCCAGGCTGTAAGGATGGCTGTCCTCTCACCCTCCACTAGCCCTGCCTCAGCTCACTGGAGCCCTCCAAGTGTGAGCTGCGGACAGCCAGAAGGATGGAGCGATCCCCTTTCCTTGGGTCCAGCCTGGGGCCTCTGCGGATCTTCCTGAATCCTGCTGGCTTCTCTGAGTGTCCTTCATTTTACTACCTAAACACCCCTATCGCCTACATTTCAGTTCTTAAAACCAGTCTGGCCTTTGAGATCTGCTTGGCTCAGGAGTTGGGCTGAAGGGCTCTGGAGTCACCCACTGTCCTGGGCAGTTCTCTTTCCCCCTCGGGGCCTCTCACCTTTAATACTGGTTGTGACAACAGGTGGCTTAATTACCTGACTCGTAATGCCTCAGGGGAGAAAGAGCTGCTGTTGAAATTGGCCTCCATCGCTCCTGTCCTCCCCAGCCCAGGCCCCTCCGTGTCCTCATGATCGGTGCAGCGAGCCCCTGGCTGCCTGCCCCATGTCTGTGGAGCAGACGGCTCCATCTTCCCTTTTCTTGGTTGGGTGATGAGGGGGTCAGAGTGGTCAGCAGAGCCCCAGGGAGAGCCAGGCACAGAGGGCCTTCCCAGAGTGAGCTGTGCTGCTCGGCCCCTCTCCTCTCCCCTCAGCAGCTGCCCTGTTGTCCTCCTGGAGAAATGAAATGGGTTTTTGAGCGCTCACTTTTGCCGCATCATGTTCTCGACCGGTCCGGTGGTGACGCACGCTCCTTCCTCCCGGCACAGCAGCCGCCAGCCGAGCAGTTCCTGGAATCGGAGTCTGTCCTCCTCGCAAAGAAAACTGTGCTCGTTTGTGTGATCATGTATAGATTCCGGAATATAAGATAGGACTGTATATACTTGTAATAAATAGGAGGTACCACTATTTAACCCTGGCTCCTCATCCTTTCCTTTTGGGACAGTAGGGTCTCTGTCAGGGGGCCTAGGGGGCGAGGGTCGCACTAGTGTCATTTCTTGGATCCCATGTAGTTAGTCCCAGCTCCTTTTTTCTAAGACAAATTGTAGGATTTTCCAGGTGGAGGAGACCTCCGAGGTCTAGTACGATCTCCTCAAGCCAACCCGGTATGTAGCAGAATTCGAACCCAGGTCTTTGGGCCCCAGCCCCGTTGCTCGTCCCCTCGTGCCATCCTGAGTCTGCCTGTTAGGCTTCTTACTGAAAGCGGAGAGATTTGCCTGATCTCTGCGAATCGGAGGGCCTGGTGAGTGGGGACATTCTTCTGATCAGAGAAGAAGGGGACCTCGTATGACTGTATATAGACCTGCCAGGGGATGGATGGTTTCTCATTCCTTAAATGGATGAAGATTTTCTTCAGGAGTGTGTGTCTCTCCTTCCCTCTCCCTTCCCCCTGCCCTTTGTCCTCCTCCTCCCTTTAATGTTCACAGAGCATTGAGCTAAGACGAGAAAAACCCCAAAGGGTGTTAGAAAGAAGGGCAGCCTTGTCATCAGCGCCCCCTCTCCCCTCCGCCCCAGCCCTCAAGTGTTGAGAGCCGGGGAGTGCACCCAGAGACCCCAGTGCCTGTTGTACATTTTATATACATAGAAGGTTTTGGAAATAGAAAGTGCTTGGACAGCAGCAGTCAGTGAAATGTGGAAAATATGTTCCTGAGGTATGTACCCCTCCTGGCATGACTGAGGAGGCTCCCAGCTCCCGCATGCTTCCTTCCTTGCCCGGTTCTCAGGTGCCAGGCACTGGCCCTTTTCTCTGACAGATATTCCCATCTGTTTTGAAGAACCACCTTTTCTTGGCAGTTCTCCGGTCGACATTATTTGAAGGGACTTAGGCTTCTGTTATTCTCCCCCTCCCCGAACCCGCCTCCCGTTTCCTGGGTGGAAAAGGCCAGAGAATCGACGCGGGGGAGGCAAGGATGGGGTCCTTGGTGCTGCTGCTGCCTCTGGGCTTCGGTTTCAGCCCCCTACCCTTAGAAGAGGTCTGGGGCAGCAGCGCTCTTATCCTTGGGACCATGAAGCGGGTCCCATTGCTTGGAGTTTCCTCAGCCCCCTGTCTGCCTTGTCATTTTAGATCTCAGCACTCCAGTTTCATCAGGCCTCTTTCTCATTCTGGTTATGCATGGCAGGATGGGGTGGGATGAATGAGAGAGGCAGGTGGAAGGTTTATACCTCACAGAGGGAGAAGAGGGTGAGCCATCATCTTCTTACCTGAGGGTAGAAAGGCTCACTTCTCCCTCACTTTCAGGAGAAGGTGACATCGGGGTGGGGGGGGCCTGGAGTCAGGAAGTTTTATTGTTCGCTTGTTTCAGTTATGCCTGTTTGGGGTTTTCTTGGTAGAGATACTGGAGTGGTTTGCCATTTTCTTCTCCAGTTCATTTTACAGATGAGGAAACTGAGGTAAACAGGATGAAGTGACTTGCCGAGGGTCACAGATTGTATCTGAAGCTGAATTTGAACTCAGGAAGATGAGTCTTCCTGACTTCAGGCCTACCATTCTGTCCACTGCACCCCCTAGCCCCAGAGTCAGGAAGAACCAGGTTCAAATCCAGGCTTAGACCCTTACTAGCTGTGTGACCCTGGGCAAGTCACTTAACCTGTTTGCCTCAGCTTCCTCATCTGTAAAATGGGGACAATCCTAGCACCTGCTTCCCAGGGATATTGTGGGCATCAGATGAGATGTTTGTAAAGTACTTTGTGAACTTTCAAGTGCTTTATAAATATCAGAAATGGGAATCCCCCCAGACTGAGGAATTTGGCAAGACAAGAGGATGAGGATGAGGAGTTGGAGAAACAGTAGTTACGAAGTTCAGAATCACCCAGCTGGAGCTGGGAGAGGGCGTGCTTTGGGGATCACCACCTAACCCAACCCGTCCCTGAAGCTTCCTACAACAACCCCAATGGTCAGTCGTCAAGCCTGGCAGGTTCTGGAGTGGAAAGACCTGGGCTTAAAGCCTCTGTCTGCCACTCGAGAGCAGCGGGACCATAAGCAGTCACGCCTTTTCTGATTCTGAGTCTTCTGTAAAATGGAGCTAATACTGCTTCCACCACCACCATCATCATCATCGTCGTCTTCTAGTCAACTGGAGTTAAGTGACTTGCAAGGTTACACAGCTAGTAAGTAAGCAAGCTGTGGCCGGATTTGAACTCAGATCCTCCTGGGCCAGTACTCTATGCACTATGGCACCACCTCGCTGCCCCAACCAGCTGCTGCTTCATGTCATTGAAATGGAAGTTACTCTAGCTATCAACAGTGGGACAGGCCATTCCACCCACTGGACTCTTGAGTCTCCCCTCTGGGCTCTGGGGGCAGGACCACATGGCCAACCTTCAAATAATTAAACATAGCTAGAATGTGCCCCCTCTCTCTAGTTCTCCCCCAGACCAAACACCTCCAGAACGTGAAGCCACTGGTTGGTTCAGCCCGTATGGCACCATCTGCAGCCGTCTTCAGCATCCTGGTCACTGTCTTCAGGCCGTGCTCCAGGATGTCCATTTCCTTCCTAAATTATGGCGCCCTCAACTGTACGCACGCCACTTCTGAATGTGGTCAGGCTAGGCTGATGTAGGCACAGTTCCTTCATTCTGCATCCTATGTGATTACAGCCTAAGATTGTATGGAGAGGAAGTGTGGTGGATAGAGAGTCAGCCTCAGAATCAGGAAGGCCCAAGTTCAAGTCCTAATTTTAACACCGACCGGCTACATGACCCTGGGACTCTCGACCTCCATGTACCCCCATCGACTGAAGAGTTCCCTACATTGATGAAATCATGGGTCCAGGCAAAAAGGAAGAGATGACATTAGCCTTTTCTTAGTGTCATGAGCATGCTGTTGACTCACCCTGGGCTTGCAGTTCAGCAAGACCTCCAGATCTTTTTCACAGACAACAGTCTGGTCTCCCCCGTGCTCGCTCTCTCGTTGGAAAGTGGAATTCTTGAATCCAAGTGTGACTTCTCATGGATCCCTATTATGGCCACACTACATCTCCCCCCCTCCCACCCCAGGGCCAGTCTGTTGAGATCTCTCTTTAGCTCCTAATTCAGTCTCACCCAATGTTATCAAGCTTTGCTTTGATGCCCACACCCAACTGAACTCAGCCTCTGGCACGCCTCCTCATCCTCGGGGCACTGTGGAATGGGTAACAGGAGAAAAAGGCCTGATGAAATGGGAAAAGGTGGAAAATGACATCCCCGAGTACCCAGCAGAAACTTGGGAACCGTCACTCTGCTACATGGGGCTTAGGTCAGAGTAATGATCAGTATCAGGACCAGAGAATTCTGGAATTGGCAATGCATACCTTGGTTGGGGGGGGGGAAGTAATAGTAAATAAAGTAACTCTCAGCATGCCAGAGTTGGGAGAGACATCAATGCCATCTAGAACAACCCACCCTCCAGTAGACGCCCCTCTTACATATACACCCGAGAAATAATCATTTCCCCCTTGATTAAAGTTCTCAGACCAACTGTTAGTGCCACCCCCCCAAAAAAAAACCTGCCTCGGGTTCACCTTGTGTGTATTCTCTTTCCATTTATTCTGTACATATGTACATGCCAACTTACTGGCCTCTCCACTAATGTGTATGCTTCTTTCAAGAAGAAGTTGTGTTTTTGTGCCTAGCACAGCGCCTGGCATGTAGGCCTTAATAAATGCTTTGTTGATTGATTGACTGATTCTGCTTTTGGACAACTCAAACGAGGAAGTTTTTCTTAGCGTCTAGCCGACTTTTGCCTCTGCTACTTTCACTCACTGCTCCTGGCCCTGCCTTTGGGAACCAAATAGGGAGAACTAGTCCAACCCCTCATTTGCTGGACAGCCATTCAAAGATGGTGGTCACGTCCCCACCTGCACCCTCAAGCCTTCTTCGGCCTAAACATCCCCAGTTCCTTCGGTCAGCCCTCCTCCAGCATGCCCGCAGGCCTTTCACCATCCTGGTTGACCTTCTCTGAACTCTCTCCACTTAATGTCCTTCCCCAGCCGAGGCACCAGAACTGAAGGTGTTTCTCCGGGTGCGAGGCGGCCAGAGCCAGATCAAGCAGGACAGCTTCCTCTTCCATACGTTGTACAGACAGCTCTATCTTGCCTCCTTCTTCTTGGAGCCCTGCCCTTGAGAAGTCAGAAGTCTGGAGCTAGTGGCTGGGTCTGATTTCTGGGCTTCCTTCAGAGTTTCTGGCAGAAAGAGGCAGAGACAGATCCCTGTCAAGCCGAAGCTGCATAGGTGGCAGCTGTAATGATACCAGAAGGAATGGAAGGAGAGATCCGGGCCTAGGATCCTGCAGTAGGATGAGGATGTGTGGTAGGCAGTACAAGAGAGCTCTCCGGAATGCTATTGACTATGGTCATTAGTCCCACCTGCTACCTTCTCTCTACTGTCCAGCCTGGTCTGCCAATGGTCACAGCCAAATTGGGCAGAGACTCGGAGTCTTTGCTGGGTGGGAGGGTCATTTCATCTGTGGTAATCTCCGATCACCTTTAGAGGAGCCGCTTCAGCTGGGGCCAGGAAGGGAGAAACTCAGGAAGATCCTCCCTTTCGGGTGTTGGGCACGTAGCTGCCAGAGGACCGCAGGCCAACTTCCAATTGACTTCTTCTCCTAGAGACGCAAGGATCTGCCTCAGAGCAGCACCTGACCCAGCCCTGGGGGGTTTGGCTCAAGCACTCCCTGCTTCTTGGCCCTCTGTCCTACAATTCGGTTTCTTACTGTTTCTCCCACCCATCCCACCTCCTCTGCCTTGCATAACCAGGAGGAGGCATTTGTGGGCCCCGAGGAAGGTCGGAAATCCGCAATTCAATTCAGGAAACACTGACTAAGTACTTAGTATGTGAGAAGCATCCTAGTGCTGAGAGCAGTGGACTTGGAAGTCGGGAGGCCTGGGTTCAGCTCCAGCGGCGGACACTTACTAGTGTTATAACTGGGGGAAAGTCA